TAAAATAAACATTTTTAGAAAGCCGACAAATTCGGATAGATACCTAGATTACCATTCAGCTCATCCATTTACTACCAAAGTAACTGTGGCCAAGAATCTGATCAACAGAGCCAAACGTCTAGTTACTGAGGAGGAAGATATTAGCAAGGAATTAAAATTGGTTCAATCCACTCTTGAATCAAATAATTATCCAAAATCCTTCATAAATAGATATTTAAAATGTGAAGATAAGGATGAATCAAAACCTGTTGCTAAAAAATTGGGTTAGTACAGCGGTGATTCCTTACCGCAAACAAACATCCGACGAAATAAAGCGAATCCTTAACGACCATAATATACGAGTGTATTTTCGTGCATCAAACACCTTACGCTCATTACTGGTTAAGGTTAAGGATAAAATAGAACAAGAAAACCAGCAAAATTGTGTATACCAGATCACTTGTGGGGATTGTAACGCCGTATATGTAGGAGAAACTTCCAGACAGGTAAATGTAAGGGTGAAAGAGCATAAACAATGTCTAAAGGTGGTTCCAAAGACCTCTGCAGACTTGAAGAAGCTAGAAAACAACTCAGCGATTGCACTGCACTCGATAGAAACGGGACACAAAATCGACTTTGATAAGACTAAGGTTTTACAGAAAGGTTTTGGTTCATATAAAGAAAGACTGACTGCAGAAGCCCTACATATATGGGTGAATCCCAACAGTTTGAACAGACGTGAAAGTGTGACCTTAGCTGATGCATGGCAAATCCTGACTAATAAATAAATTGGATATGTTTCAACAACTAGTCATACTTGATCAAATTCCCGATTGTCTACGTCTTCTTATGGAGAGAATAACGAATCTATAAAATTATATTATATTTGTAAAAAACATCTCAATTATTTTGTAACTATCCGGTCAAATCTTGTTCACAGCTCATTTGAGAATAACAAATGTTTTATGACTGTTCACCCACACACACGCACACACACACCATTGATAATGCATAACACATATACACATATATTTTAACAAAATTTTAACAAAATTAGACTAATTTTGAAAGTCTGAGGTCAAATTTTGATCACAGTTCATATAAAAATTTTGTTTTGTTTTGTTTACTATACCTATTGATAGCTGTTTATTGATTCACATGACTGGACAAACAATTTAAAAGAGTTGTACTTTTATATATAAACATACTATTTTATTTATTTATTTATTTATTATACATGTTGATGACTGTTGCATGACTCATGATTGGACAAAATTTAAAAAACATGAGTTGTTCCTTTTATATATAAACCTCTGTTTATTTTAATTCGATTAATTTCCCTGAAGAAGTTCGGACCAGATTGCCGAACGAAACGTTGGAATTAATCATTTCAATTTCGCTGAGATTTTACAAATATAATTTTATAAATGTCTAACATAAGCAGTCATTACTAAGATATGGTAATTTACGAAATTGTGAATGTCCAATTTTCGATAACGAAATGACTAGGTGATTATTTCTGCGAAAACACTACTACTACTTACACTACCAGGCCTTTCATCTCTAGATATTCATCCAGCTTTCATGACAGTTATTTATGTCGTCCAAGGAATCATTCTGTAAATATATTTATGCATGGTATTTCATAAGATTCGAGGAGAAGAATGATTACCACTCGCCTTCAAGATATCCAGGTATATTCAGTCGTTTTCAATGGTACGGTCATGCATAATAATAACCCAGTCTTCCCAGTTGATTCAAGTGTGATATTTCAAATGGAGTGAGAGTTGACAAATCATGGTTATCGGGAAATGGAATCCCGATGTGACCGTCGATGCAACTGTTAGATTTGCGAGACTACTGTTAGAATAAAATCATTATTTCCAACGACAACCACGATACCACTGATACAGGAAGCAAGAAATGAAGAAGACAGACCGTTGAATAGAGAGATTTCACCGTCTCGTGTCGACTAGCAATAATGATAATACCACATAATATAGAGATACAGAGTGGTTGAAGAAGATAGAAATCAGTCAACAGACTACATATCGATCCGATACCACTTAGTAGCAGGCATTATCTAAAACAGGGAAAATCAGTTGAGATGTTTAATATAGATGTTCATATTGACAAGGAATTACGCGCATCTAACAACACTACACCAGGTGGGGTATATAACAAACACATGACTTATTTCATTCAGAAATCAGCATGACACGTGTCTATTTGGCTTCTTATTTCAGTGTGGTTAATATTCCTTTCAGATATCTAAATTTATTATGAGTAAGTTATTGACATTCTGTCACTGTATATACTGTTCAACCTCTGCTTATTTTTGTTTACCATCTTCTCGTGCATATGTCAACTGGAACATTCTTTTCAGTGGAATGTTGTTTTCAACTAACAAAATATGAGGTGACTTTTGCTTGGATCTCTTCCGCTTCAAATTTTCCAATTAGCCATTGAAATCATCTTGTTCTATGTCAGTGTGAATACAAAGCACTTCGTGATCTCACATTCCTCCACTTGTACAACAATGATGTAATAATTTGTAGCACACACTGATTTCTCCTCACTTTGGTGTGTAATGTTTACTTATTCAACGAAAACAGAAATTATGGTGTGCAGTATTGTTTAGAATGAGATGTTGAGTGAGTGTTGAGTGTGGCTGTATTGACGGTGGTGCAGCTGCAGTTGACGAACTTGCATATTGTCTCCGTTTTCTCACTTGATCTGTAGAGCTGACAATTTCAGACTGATGTACAATATATGTTGCTTCAATCCCTTAACTGTTTGTGTCTCACTGTGACTGACATTATGTTACATTCAAGCGGTAATTTGTACTGAAATCTACAAACCGTGAGATACTTTCTTCAAGCTATTTCGCAGCTTCACAAATGCTCATCAGACCAGTAGCTCACATTGTAATGTAACCAGTAGCATTGGTATGAATAGGATATTTACTAGTAATGATTGCATTGTTTCTGCTAAATATGGCGGCACTTATGAGCACGTAAATTTATAATCGAAAGTTAATCTAGGAAAGAACCTCTCGACTACCTACTGCCCAACAAATATACACATAAAAATAGAGATGGATTCATCATCCAGCTACAAGAACGTTGAGTGACATCACACTCTAGGCCCTGAATAATAAATGATGAGTTGTATGTCTGAGTGTGATGTGGAAGAAATCTTGTGAGGACGAGTAAAAGGAAGTTATGATATCAGGCGAGAAAGCCTGCAGCCATCATTGTGAGATGGTGATACACAACTGTAGCCATACATAACACTCGGAATCCAAGTTGATAATGATAAGCAGTGACTGTTTGTCTACAAAATCCAATGTTCATTTCAGACGATGCATTGTTGAGTGATGCGGATCAATTTCTATGTAGAATTCGCTATCAACCAACATCAGTTATAGACCCACTAGACACCAGAAACCACTCGGTGGATATGTTGTCCTAGTCTGAATGTCTTCAGATATGAATACTTCTGATCGATTCTCTAACTGACGTTGATTTGTGGAGAGCCCTACACTGAGATTGATCTGCATGTGCTTCTCGAAACTACATCAGTGTGAAGACCCGTTCACGTGACCCTTTCGATGAAGTGGAGAATGGTCAGTAAACCGAATAAACTTCAATGTCTACCGACGATGATTTATACACGCTCAACGAGATCCACTCGTTATTTACAAGAAGTGACCACCGATAATCACCAAAAGTGGTAAACTTCTCACCACATTTTCAAACCGCTTGTTTCGAAAGTCACTTTCACAGATTCACATACTGTAATTTTGCTCATGCAGGTTTCACTGATGGGATGCTTTTGGAAAACGCAGCATTTCTATCTTGCCATCACACACTCTCATCAACACCTGCTCACTTCGATAATGAGGGTGAAGCGGCCTGTCATTTTGCAATCATTGTGCAATAAGGAAACACACTCGAATCAGATCATCAACCAACAACATACTGGTTTAACAAAATATGCAGGAGGAAATGCAGACAGATCAGATATACAATGGGAAAGATTCAAGTGACATCGCACACCATTCGGCCATCGGCTGGAAGCCGAATGGTGAGAGATGCATTGTGTGTGACAGTGATATGGAGGAGATCGCATGACTTGAAAGTGAAAGTATGTGAGCAATCAGTAATGGGGCCAATTGAGATGGATGGGATGGAGATGTGTCGCTGAAGTCTCACCTCCCACTTGGATATAATGAAATATTAAATATAAAGTATTAAACAGTGCAATTGCGCGTCATCTATTAGACACTGGTCATAGTGTAGACAAATTGAAGTCATTCAAAATAATCAACAAGCAAAAGAAACCTAACTTGCTACGCTTTGCTGAAGCAATTGCTATCAGACGACTGAAACCAAATCTATGTACGCAGAAAGAGACAGTGGTGAATCTTTCACTGCCTTGGTGACAAGAAATATATATATATATATATACAACAGCTTGTTTTTGTTTCCAAGCCTAATTGCCTAATTATTCTATTAATATTTATAAACTGTCAAATATTGATCACAGTTCATTTGAATTATTCTATAAATAGTCAGTGCTTGTAACTCTTAATTAGTTAAATCATTCCGAACTAATGCTACTTTTACTTCCTACCAATTACTCCTTGTGATCGTGGAAAATTATGTTCAAATCTTTAATGTAATGGAATTCATATTTTTCATCGTTCAGGTTGTAACCAGTTGAGAAGAATCCTCGAAATAATAAAAAATGAGCTCATATTATCCTGGTACAATTGTTGTTCTTGCTTTGTTCAAGTTTATTAATGAGAAGAATTGCATGAAGTTTATAATGAAATAATTAGCAAAGATCACAACGATTTGTCGTTTCTTCGTTTTATTATTTTGAATTCACACTTTAATGTTTCAAACGTCAATTATTTTACGATGAATTAAAAGAGCATCATTTCACAAGAATGGAATAGTATCAGTGAAATTTAAATCAGCATTAATAGTAATAATAATAATAATAATCAAAGAATGTGTTTATTTTCAAGGTAAGAACTTGTCGCTCAACACTGTTTCCTCTCAAAAGTCATTTGGTGATGATAAGAAATAACAATTTCCAAGTGATGCAGTTATTCTGTAAAAATAAGCAGAAACACATATTCATTTTAGAAAGAACGATGGAACAAATGCGAACAGTAATGGCAATGTAAATTAAAAAATTAATATTTGGAAGTCCGGATTTTGAGAATTCTTCACCAATGCGATTCAACTTACTGTACAATGAACTCTTCGTTGCATAGAGATAATGGATGAAGCATATGTGCTCGGTAGACTACTTCTCCTCGATTCAATATGCAACACGTTTCACTCTAACTGAGTGAGTGAAGTCCAAGAGATGCGCAAAATTATGGATTATATAATTTCATATTGCATTTAACACTGTGTGGTTATATGATATTCAAATATCAGAAGAGACACTGTTTCAACTGTGATGATGTTTATGTATTCAAGTGGGGAATGAAAGTTGTCAAACAAATCAAGAATAACTTGAATATGCCAATAATCTATTCATAATGAGGCTAATTAAATTGGAATGTTGTCGTGTTCAACGGGCAGGATTTCAAGTGAACATAGAGAAGATGAAGGTGATGAATATCGAAAACCACTAACACCACAACCACCACTACTAACAACAACCGAAACAGCCTAAACCAGCACCAATCACTATCTAGGGAATGAATTCGAAAGAGCTCACTTCCTCCCTTCATCTATCTGGGAAGTATCGTTTCAACTACAGGCAGTCGACATGGATGACGATGTCAACACCAGCCAAAATCGGAAGGACAACACTGACCTTCATCGCTGAGAAACCAATTCGGAAATCTTCTGCAATCAGTATGTGGGAGAAAAGTCGGATTTTAAATGTCAATCTTAAGTCGATCGATCGAGTCAGTCAGTCAGTCATTCGGTTCTTCTAAATGGTTCAGAAACTTGGTCAGTGCGTCACGAAAATCACTTCCAACAGGCTACTGCTGACTCTAATCTACAGCTTCACGCTACGCTGGCTCCATGTTCAATATCAAATGGCCAGGCGGTCAGAAAGAATTACCAACGAGAACCTGTGGGAACGGACCAATGAAGAAATTACCCCTCAACAAATGTGCCGCAGAAAATAAATGTGGATCGGACACACACTGAGGAGACCAATGATTGACATCGCGTGCATTGTTGGTCATCAGTGGAGGGATACCTGAATGGAAAGCGACGAGATAGTCGTCTGATGGTGACAATGAGAATATCGTGCGAGTTGGATGACTTGCGAGATTATGTTGAGTCGTGGAGCCAACTGAATAGGACAGCAGAGAACAGGACAGAGTCGAAATGTGCTGTTGAAGCCCTATGCTCCACTAGGAACCTAAAAGAACAATAACAACATGAATAAATTCTCCTTCAGGCTCTACAGTTATTGAACATCCATTTTGACGACAACCACCATGTGTACAAGAATCTATACAGAGGAATCCCATGATGTCTCCAATCAGTAGCTGAAGCTGTGGCAGTCGATACTAGAAAACCCAATCACTATATCCAGAAGAGGTAAGTCTGACAGCTTTATTTACCACTGACGCACAGTGAAGTTTAGCAGGCTTCTACAAACATTGACAGGCAACAATTTAAGTACCAATCACACTGTTGTCCTCTTTCCGTTTGTTTCGCTTGCAACCTCTTATTTCATACCCTTGACAGTTTCGAAAACTAACTCTTCGTTTGCGTAACACTCTTCACACGTGTTGTTGTGTTCACGTAATACGGTGTCTCTCTGCTCTTTTGAAGTCGTCATTATCTAATAATCGGTCAGCAATAATACTCCTGTGTTCACACCATACCGTGCTTATTTAATTCACCATTATTACCGTTATTTGACATGCATCGAACTTATGCCCACTGGCTCACTGCATTTTATTTGTTCGTTAATTTTCCTGCAGCATCCTCACTGCCTCTCTCCTCACAACATCCCTTGAAACTGATAATTTGTTGGTCACGATTGTACAGATGCATCACTGAATTATTTCATTTCATTTTACCTCGTGTCCTTTCTTATTGACTAAACATAGTTTACATGCCTTTGCAATTGTAATCCAAACTGAATGGTTATTAATTCATTCTGTACTTGTAGCACAATACAGTTCCTGACATCAATCCGATTCACTTTGACTAGCAGGTATAGGTTAAAATCAATGGATTGATAAGTGAAGGGCGCGAAGAGGAATTTATTAGAAGCACTTTACTGTTGGTTGTAATTATTCGTGTTTGAAGTAAGAAACAGGATGAGGCGACATTTCTAAAGCAATCGTCTTAGTTTAATTCGCTTCATACCACTCACCTGCTGGTATCATTTTCTCCAGTTCCTTTGATATCCCCATAAGTAATTTCCTTTCAACTGAAAAGATGCGTAAAAAATTATTATCTTGTACAAATGACTGATTAGTATCATTACCTTTAAAACTGATGATGAATTGGCTACCTGAGATTGTGACAAACATTTTTAAACGTTATGGACAAGAAGGAGTATTACATTGTGTAATTTATTATCACTACCCTTCATGTGTTCCTCTTTGGCTGGTCTCACGATTACCCATAAGATTTCATCTCCCCCATGTCACACTCGAACACCCAACTTGTCATTTTCCATTCGAAATTTCACTCGGGCGATGGCCTGGCGTGTCGTGTCACTCAACGGTCTCCTCAGGCTCACTTCGCTCCTGTCTTCACCTAGATGGCCTCAAACAACTCTCACTTTTGCATCACCTCACATGTGCAGTAGTCACATATCTGTTGAATGAGTTTAGTGAAGGTTCGAGGCAATTCATCGTTTTGAAGCAGTTTTCACATCACTTCGCAGTCAGCGCTATGTAAGGTCTATTCGAATTCAATGAAGGTGAGATGAGATTCGACCGTCATCCTATGCTCTGTCCAATGGTGATGCCAACGGTTTCTATTTCATTCGCGTATTATTTGCAATAGTCATTCTTTACCAAACATCAACTAACCTTGAAACTCATAAGCTCAGGGTTTCAATGTTCCAGCTTCAGAGCTAAGTATCATGAGGTCGATCTCGCATTAGCCAATGGGTACACAATTCTGATAAGTTTCAAACTTGAAAGGGACACTTTTCTATCTGCTCTTCATTCCATGTCATCCAGTGAATAAAATTACTTTGAGATAAATACATACTTCTTCTATTTTAAATAATTCTATTCACGAATAATAGATTGTTAATATGATTTATTCCCGGATTGTAGTATAAAACATTGTATCTGAATGTCACTTCATAGCATACTCTAAAATCATTTTATGTGTGTGTATTACTTACATGTGCTTTTGGTTTGTGTCTCGATATGATAGTACAATCTGTGGATTTGACTACCCACATGATGAGCTTCTGTGAAAAAGTTGGTTGAAAGTTTAATTCAAGTAAAACTGACTTGTTAGAATATACGGAAATCTCACACTGGTCTCAGGCTTTTATCAATAACTACATTCGCTCTGTACTGAAGGTTGGATGGTCGGCCAGAAAGTATGAGTAATGAGGAGCTCTAGGATGAATCCAACTGAGAAGTTATCACCTCAAAAATATGCAGAAGGAGATGGAGTGAATCAGCCAAAAAGGAAAGGCAGGGAACGGAGTGGAATTGAGATGTGCGACTAATGCCATATGTCCCACTCGGAATCTAAGGAAATAATAATTTCATAACCGGAAGGGTAGTCATCAGATGTCATTCCTCTACTCAGCTGAAAAATGAGTTCCCTCATCCTTCCAGCCACATGGTAGTATGTGATTTCTTTCAATGAAATCGTCCTAATGCGATGAGAAGCAGAAACCTTTCTTAAAATACAGTCACACCTAAATCATTCCCTTGCGAAAGCAATCGTCACAAGCCATGATGACATCACCTTGCCGAAGAAGAGTTTCACAGAGAATGACTGTCAATTTGATTATCAGAATATGTGAAATACATAGTCACTGTGAGATCAGAGAATACTCTTCTTACCTAATTTATGACAGCGCTATGATATCTAACCTGTTCATAATAAACTGTCTTCAGAAACACTATTATTATTGATTTCAATTCTTTTTCATTGAGAGTGGAATAAACAGCTGTAAGCTCGATCTCTGAGAGCTTAGTAGTGCGTCGGCCAGTAAATGGACTCCAGACGATGCGCGTGGTTGGCAAGCATTGTAGCATCCAACCACCGTCTCATCCTTATAAAATTGCTATGTGTTGGCAGTAAACCAAGTGTTTCAAACTCACTGTGAGTATGTTTCACCCACTTGTCTTCGAGAGTATTAAACATTATCATTAGTCACTCCGCGTGAAACATAGGCTATCAGTGTGTCACATACTCATTCCGCTCGATTCTCTTCCACGAATGTCAGCTGATTGAATGACTGATCAAAAGCTTCTCCGTCACATAATTTCCTCAATGTCACACTGTGACGATCGACTCGTTGCCCTCCATTCAGGTTAAACTCGAATGTGTTATGCGACCTGATTGACTTCTCAGCCTATGTGAAATCCATCTCCATTTCTCTCTGTAAATTTGCTGAGCAGCAAGTTGTTGCGTTATTGCCTGCCTTGTGGAGTCTCTTGTTGCTCTTTCCGGTCATGTTATCTCCACTATCGAGGCAGGTAATAGGCTATGTGATGATGGAGGTCTGAAGCGAGATGTTGTGAACACCTTTCGTGACGCGTGTGTCAAGCCTGTGGAGCATACAGAAACACTGACTTGGCATTAGTGTTGCTAATTATTAACAGGTTCTATGTTCTGAGTGCTGACTATTTCAGAGCAATGAAACCTGTGCTGTCTTCCTGATCCTCACTGCTTTTGGCATCCTTGTTCCTGTCGCCTTTAGTTAAGCGATGCTGACCGGGTGAATGAAAACAACGACTTTACTCATGTACTCACAATGATAATGGGGAAAAGAGGGTACTGCGCACTAGTGCTGTATTATTTGCTATGATTGGCGAGTATCTCTATCATTATTTCATCGAAACGCAGTTTCTATCTCTTAGTACAAAGCTATTTGATTCTAGCCTCAATTCACATGACATATATGATGATGAAAACAATGTTCAATGACATACCGCGAATAACGTCATACGGATTATCACGCATACATATTGTCCGTTCATAAGTTTTGGCCATTTCTATTTTCATGAAACAGGAAAGAAATTCATAGTGAAAATATAATTGAACAAGAATGATATCAGTGAAGATAAATTGAAAACCTCGACTAAGGCAAGATTCGAACAGTGTGGCACTATTAAGTGTTGATGATGTTAACGCTGATGGCTCATTAACGCACATCTGAATGTATTTGAAGTAAACCACAGGAAAACTAGCCTCCCTATTTTACTCCTCTGCGTTTCAAGTTGAATATAAGGCGGCAAGCCATGAAGTTTCAGTAGTGATGGTATTGCTTTTACATGGTATCATCACTAGCACCTGGTACAAATTCTCCTCTTTTCCGGACTCACTATCGACTAGTATGCTAGACAAGGTTTAAGCACACGTTGTCCAGGAACTGAAACTGGGCCTTCAAATTGGCAGATGAGCACTCTCCCATCAAACAACTGAGGAGATATGAGTAACTTGGTATTGTTGTTCGCGTTGTAATTGTCATTACTGAACTCATTCAGAATTAATAAAGATACGCTTCAGTGTTGACGAAGCAGCCGTGTCTTTGATGACAACTTATCTTAACAGTGAAACAACCAAGGAGAATCACTGTGCAACAGTGAGTTAAATGTGTTTACACAGTAGTTAACACTCACCTTCATATTTCTTTGTCTTATTCTGAAAGCACTGCTTCATTTTCGCTATGTCAGCAGGAATAAATCCTGCAAATTGTACATTGAAAGAGAGGATGTATACAAAATCTCAGATATCAGAGTTTCATCAAGAAGCTTTCAAATGCTAACTGTGCATATAAATTGCTCCTAGTTAAGACTGACTCAATCATTAGGTAATGTAACACAAGTCTCATTCTCGGAATACAAATGCATTTCTTTAGAATTACAGTCACACTATACTGTGATAAGCATCAACAGTCAAGATATGCAGGATAAGAAGACATTTGCTCTTAATCTTTGCCTAACAAGATGGCTACCAATATGGCAGTGAAAGGGAATGAAAGTACGTAGATAAAAATGTTTACAGTACCGAAATTCTTCTCTTCTGTCTGAATAGTTTCCACCAGATCTGATAAAGTTAAAGCAAACATTCATGATAAAAAATTCAGCATCACTGAATACTGGAAATACAATCATTTTATTTGCAGGCACTGAAGGACATGTGAACATTTGTAATAAGTAGTCGTTGTTATATGAAGACGTCAACTCAATCGCTTGTGTGTAGTCAAAGCGGTCATTGAAGGCAACATCGTTAATACCGATGAAAATTGGCTTCAACTTTATTGTTATTTGTAGGCTTCAAGCGAATAATTGAGTAGAAAAGTGATGATAAGTTTGAAATACAGGTGTTTGCGTTCTTTTGCATTCCTGGTGGAGCATTAAGCATTAGGCAGCAAGCTTTATATTTCCAGTAGAGAATATGTGGCCTTAATGCGGTGAAGTTGCTATCTTCACGCTCAACCGTTACCTTTTCCTGCGGGCATTCTGGCCCGAACGCATCAACTCGGAAAATAGAACCATATTCAACACGTCACTGATGCCCACAGTTTTTTAGAAATTCCTAATCTGTCTAGCTTTCTGTTCATTCGTGGATAATGAAATGAATAACAGAATTAAAGCGTTTTTAAAGGCTACACCATTTTCACAAGTAATTATGAAACAAGATATAAGAAACGTTCATACATTTCATAAGTGTAACTCCACTTCGCCCTTCCATTTCTTTTCTTCTGCAAGCAATATCTAAACATTCAAGGTTTTGATATAATTTGTGGATTATAACTGACATTTATCAATGGACAACCCGTCAGGTGACATTTTACTATTGATGTTTCCTGCAAATAATAAGAGAGAAAACATAAAATGAATCATTGTTTTATAAAGTAGTGTATCATTTTGGTTTGACAAAATGCAGAGTTGCAGAAATGATGTTATCTGATTGATGATGGCTAACCGTCGAATCCAGAATACTCGTCTCGTCCTGTTCGGTGCTTGTCAAATGTACGTGCTTGCATTCTCTAGTGAGTGACGACGTTCTCATTGGGACTTGAACCCACTCAAAGTGATTTCAACTAGGCCACTGTTATGATAAATATTAGTTTCCAACTGACAAAACCCTCATGAACAGAGATATCGTGATTGTTGATCCTAGTCTACATGATGTGTGCAGATTCCTTCAGAGAAAAAAAACCAGACTGAAGTCGGGGAAAACGCGTATTCTGGATTTCGGTGCTGACCATCATCAAACAAATAGCATTGTCTTTACCTTCACATTTCGTCGGAGCATCCGTACTTAAAGCCGACACGTCAACAGACACTGAGCATTAAGGTGCGGCATAAATCACACAGTGGAGGAGTACAACGTAGATGAGTGGAAATTTTCCATTATTATTGTTTATTTGTAGGCGGATATAGTACAGGACGACTTTTATCAAGATCAGTTATAGTTTTCCCAGAGAATGATTCTGTTCACACGAATTAAACCAAAAGATCGGTGAATAGGTTTATTTGCTATTCGTCACCGAGGAAGAAGGCTATCATCGAGGTGATCCATTAAATTCTGATGTCTTCGATTCGACTGGCAGCTTTCAGAGAGGGAAGAACCAAATAAATGACTCAATATTCTTGCCATTTTATTCCTCTAGAAACTTGAGTAGTTATCAAGAGATCTGAGTGCTGTGCAACTTAATCGTTCATGGTGCTCACAATCTGACCTGGAAACGGCAACGCATATACCAAATATTTTCGAGTGTTGATCTGCAGTGATTTACCAAACTTCAAGCCTCAGGAAGTGAAACCAGTTAGGAGACTACTGCAAAAACCAAGCAATACTGGACAGTTGTTTTGTCCTACTTCGTGACTCTTTATTGGTGACTCTCTTTGTCCATCATCCAACACAATTACAACCGAATCCATGGCCTTCAGATTCCCAGTAGATCTCGTAGATCATCAGAAGGCCACTAGAACAGAATACTGTGAATTCTAAATCCTACAGATTTCTGACATGTTTTGTTACAGGCGGTCTTCTTCAACGACGAATATCGTAAAAGAAAGATTAGGAGAGTCGGGCACTGCATTAGAGCATAATTCCATACTACACAAGTTCATTTCGGACAGTCAACGTCGTAGACCACATTTATTACGATTTCTCACTAGAATTTCAGGCAACTCCATCCCACAGTCCACCAATTGTGACCATTGGAATAAATTTCAAATGCTGGTTTGCTGAGATTTAACCGATTTGAAGTATAATTGGAATGTTGATTTCAAGATTTCAAAAGAGTGATTTTGCTTATCATAAACATGTAAACGATAATGTGAACATTAAGCAAACCATAATTAGTGCAAGTTAATAGTGTCAAATTATGCGTCAAGATTAGGCGAAAGGATGATCATTCTAAATTACCTATTTGATTTTGTATTACTTTCGTTAGATTCGCCATAGTCGCATTGTTCTCCTTCAAACGTTCTACAGTATCAGAATAATACGGAGTTCAGTTGAAGTGGACTTTACATTTTCAAATAACATATGCTTGATTCTAGTTCTTTTATAACATTATCGATAGGTGACAAATTGGATTTAGGTAATATCAGGCAACTTTATTACTGCATTATGCAAATGACTGACAACTTGTCTGTCCTTATGTGCATCACTGCTGTTATTCAAAGCAGTTATCCTCATACAGACTGTACTCCGGTGGTTCACTGGTAAGATACTCGCAAATCACGCACGTCGTTCGGATTCCAATCCCGTGTGATGCACTCCCTTAACCAGTAGTAAGCCCAGTAAGTATGGAAGGCTGGGCGTGAGGCTAGCAATCTCATTCCGCAGAACAACAGTCTACGCTATTGAGACTCCAGATCTCAGGCTTAAACCAAGAGAATGGAAAGTTAAGAAAACAAAGGGTCTATAAATATTTCCGCCCTACAAATATATACTAAAGTGTGAATACTATAAATAGAGAATCTTGAAAGCTTATTCATGACATGAATAAATATCTATCTGATAGCTTATTTCAAATTTACCTGCATTTCGAGTTAATCTTTTTTTTATCCACGATAATTTGTGTTTGATATACCTCAAGTCTATATGAAGAGAAAAATTTGGTATTATTCACTTTCTGTAATAATAAAATGTACGTATTTCAGAATACTTAGAATCATGATACATTCAGTGGTGACTTCAGCATGCAGATTAGGTTTCAAAATAATTCTCAGATGTGTGAGAAGTTAACTGACGTTCGCACTTAGCAATCAGCTTTCTGTGAGGCATAAATCGAAGGTGACTAGAGTATTTCTAGCGCTAGGGTTCGACACAATCATCAAAGAGCGATCCAATTTTGTCTTTGTCCTTTTGATTGGAATACTGATCAAGCGGATGCTCAAATAGTGTATGTGATCTCTGCAGTTGAACGACTTCACAGTGATGTAGTGAATGGTTGGATTAAGGTCCATGCTTTAAGTGAATGTTTCTGGAGTCCAAATTCGACTTTACCTACTTCTGTTTGTATATCTGGGTAGAATCATCAGTCCTGAAAACAAATGGAGATAGTGACCTGCCACATGAAATTTCTATTCAGTGTGTTACGACGTCCTAATCTTTCGTCATACACCATGACATATCTGGATTTCAAATGAAGGATGGCGACTATTCGAGACGAGACTAACGAGACTATTAGTCAGCTAGATGTGGTAGTGTTTACACTCAAAATCAGATGCGACCCACTTGTTCCACATATCAAAGCATTACCTAGTAGACCACTCGAGCCATGAAAGCCACAATTTTTATAAGCGGGATAACTTTTAATGTTCGTCTAACGCCTTGTCGTTTGAAACGATGGGTGCTCGGTGAGGTGCGAACAACACCACTTACTCAAGAATGCTCACGAGTCCTAAATTAGGCAAAATACGCATTCTGGATTCTGGAGCTAGCATATATCTGCCAAATTACATCCTGTTAATACTGAAACATCTTCGAAGCGTCTACATTGCTAGCCGTCATGTCAATGGAGACCGAACGTTTCGGTTCGATCGATAAGTGGAAACAACAAAAATTCACTAATTCCAAAATAATTTCTGAGCTTTGTTAGTTATATTCTGTGAGGCTTATTTTCAACAAAATACCTACCTGACAGTAGTAAATAAAACTTAACAAATTGTAAGATGATTTATTGATCAGTTAAATATCTTAGACAAATTAAATTAGATGATAATGTACATTCAATACGTAAATGATCATGAAACGTAAAATGAAACTCACCGTCCTGTGTGGATTGTTGAACATGAAGAAGAATGAAAAATGAGATGAACAGTACGAAGCAACGCATGTTGTAGTTTGTTCTGAACATATACAAATATGTTTACATGTACATATATGTATATATATATATATATGCTGATGACTAGAGCAGACAGCAATGCACTGAGTAGTAGACACCCCATAGTATCAAATCAGATTTGAAATTACAAAAGCTGTTTTGCATTGTCCAACCAAATTCCGACTACTTGAATTATTTGTGCTGATTAGACGAAGTGAAAATGGCCGTACTTTTCTAAACAAAGTTCCACTAGGTGAGACGATAGCTCTCAGAAAAATAAATCAATGCGACAGTGTCTAGTGCATAATTCAAGTCGAATGTCAAGTTTGATGAGTTTGGTGAAGACAATCGTCAGATTTTTGTACATTTGTGTATTTATTCTTGTGTTGTCAAAACCCTTAAAGCAACAGTAAAACTGAGCGAAACCATTTTTGATATGGTTGCGTTCTCTGAGCTGGTTAGTTTAATCACGGTGCTTTCAGTCTCCATCTAGATAACAACATCAGCGCGAACTTCAACATGAATAAAATTTTACACATGGATTATAATTGAGCAAGTTGGCACTAAACACTGCAAGTTTCTGCATCCAACATACAAAGAATAACAAATTTGACATGACGGCGTGCAAGCTTGCGACACATTCTTATACATACACTTTGACTATCCAGTTGAAATTGTAGGCTATGCTGACTCATAAACCTACTGGGAAGAGTTAAAAACATTGTAGAAACATGACGAATCGAAACAGAGAGGGGTAACTTTCAGTTTTGAAAATAAACTTCTGGTGATTTCTTTCTTCGAAAGACATTATAAATAAACCCAGTAGTCATTAGGGTCCAGCAGATTCATAAAATAAGAATTCAACACTATCTTGGCTGTCAGCAGTGATTGTTCACTTCGGAACCAATTCGAAGCATATTTGCTGGTTACGCTTTCACACTTCACTTCAAGGGCTGAAATTCTTTAGAAAGAGTTGAAATCACTTGTGAAAAGTGTAGCGACAAAGTTGAAAGCAAGGCGGGAAATGTGAAATTGTCTGAATCAATAAAAGTTATTGGCTAGTGAAAGAATCAAATCAAATAAGTCTTTGTTTAAAATTTCATCAATGAATGAAACAGACCAGATAAAATTCATCTTCAGCAATGCGCACAGCAGAGGTTTGATATAGGCCTACTGGAATGGCGTTTCGTATGAAAACAGAGCTAAGAGATGAATTTCAGAAACTCGGTGCGTTTAGCAGTAGACAATACTCTTCCTATCGTTATTAGTGTTTTGTCTTCCAGGTGGAACACAAGGCTTCAGTAGTACACACTTCTTATAATGTCAGTTCTGACGTCATATTCGCATGGCTTCACGACTACTCACATACTTTGAATTCCCTCTCACCGTCTCACAATTGAAAGCCTAACCAATCGCCTCCTATTCGGGTTTCGATGTATGGCGTGTCTGGCGCATAATGTCACTTGTAAATCTCTTCAGAGTATGTTCAGCAAATCTCCCCTCCCTCTTGTATATTCATTTATCGCACATCGGATTCATAGCTCGTTGACTGCCAATAAACATAGATGAGGAAGTAGATTTGTAACCAAAGTGTAGATCAGATTGATTTAGCCATGCTCAGGATTTAAATCATTTCGACACAGTGCTAGCGACTATGGTCCAGCCATGTGAATATCATTCGAAAATTATTTGAACAATTTACCAACCAATTTCACATATTCAGATAATCAAATTGACAGTCATTCTCTGTGAAACTCTTCTTCGGCAAGGTGATGTCATCATGGCTTGTGACGATTGTTTTCGCAAGGGAATGATTTAGGTGTGACTGTATTTTAAGAAAGGTTTCTGCTTCTCATCGCATTATGATGATTTCATTGAAAGAAATCACATACTACCATGTGGCTGGAAGGATAAGGGAACTGTTTTTTCAGCTGAGTAGAGGAATGACATCTGATGATTACCCTTCAGCCTATGAAACGTTGAAGATTAGAAGTGAAAGGTAGGTTGTACATTAACTAAAACATATCTTCGTACCCTATTCAAGACAGATGAATTCAAAAGCGCGAATTATTTTGTTGGAATGATATTCACAGACAGAATTCATATCATGTGTAGTTTCAAATGATTGTATTTCACATTGATAATACACAGTATTGTTTAATTTTCTGAAAATATTTATAGAGCAAACAATAAATTAGGCGGAAATATCTTCAACTCTGAGTTCGCACGGATATCAGTAAGAGAGACACTGAAACAGCCAATAGTATTGAGCAGACGTTTCTTCCTATCTTTTCCTTCATTCTCTATAGGTGTAAAATAACGATTTATACCCATAAGTTCGCTCGGGTGCAGTTACTTATACCGCAGAATTCCTTGCCATATGTATACAGCAGCTGGAACTATGTGTTCAGTAGAAGCGGCTTCAACTTTTGCATACAATCCCGTTTGATATGTCTCTCTCTCATGGTTTATGCCAATGTACTGGCCTATTGTGCTACTATTTCTTCAGTACTATAGTCCACAGATGTCTGCTGTCATTCTATGCCTCTAGGAGCGGTGACAATTTTCAACACGATATTCGTTTATCACAATAATTAGTTTCAACTATCGCAAACAAACAACTCCAATGTTTTCCCTGTATTTGTTGTGAAGTTGTTCAGTTCTTCACTCAGCTTGAATGTGGTGAACCACGAATTTACAAAGGTTGAAGTTGATGAGTCGGTGGATGAAGCCCCCGTACCCGTCTGGTTAACGAGCTCACTTTATGACGTGAACGTCTCGGCCTCGATCTCTTGTGAGATGGTGGGCATCAACTGCAACTGAATAGTCACAAATCGGGACGACACAGCTATCCAGCACTTCCGGCTGGTTTCTATTTGTTCTCTAACTGATATCAAACGCGTCATCACACGTATATCCTGCGACCCGTTCCCTCAGTTGGTTATTCAACCCAACACATTTGTAAACGAATGTCCGATTGATGTCTACTTAAAGATACGTTTGGTGTATTGGCGATTATCCATTTTCAAGAAAATTAAAAATCAATTTGGTCAACCATGCATGACGACATCTCTAGTATTTACTTTTATGCTAAACGCTAAATCACCCATTTTATCTACAAAATATGCGATTGTTAGAGCATAGATCAGGCTCAGCATTTGAATTCGACAGTGAAAATAGCTGACTGATTTTGTTTCTCATCACCGTTCTGAATGGGAAAATATCGTCTATGACTCTGAGCATATTGTCATGAACGAATATGGCAAGAAAGCATGGGAGGAAGCAGATGGAAGTACGGTCCACAAGAGACGGAGTTCTATTCAGCTTGAATTCAAGGTGATGACACTGTAAGTGCTAGGCTAAACTTAAGATAGACGTCTAATAACCACACTTAATAAATACTTCACCGCTCAATAAATTAGCAGTACTCTACCCCTAGCGTGTAAGTACTGACGAATGAAATCAAAGTAAAAGACTTGAGACAGGAAGTGTGTCTGGAAACGGAGTTGTATTTTACACAAGTGAAATAGCAAATTTAATAAACAAGGGTGTCAAACAACTTATCTGATGCCTCAACTGGTAGTAAGCTTGAAGAGTGCGCTGAATGAAAGCACAACGAGACAGCGAACTTATTATATACAGAAGAATCGCAAATCAAAAGATTAAATGGCGCCAAAAGTGAGTGAATGCGTTGAAACAAACGTAAACAGGTTCAAAGTTCACTACAACATTGTGAGAATGAAAATTAGGCGTTTAATTTCTGCTTTGACTAAGATGTATCCTGCAGGAAGACTAGCTTCTGTACTGTGACATTCTACTCGTTGAGACAGTCAAAACTCACATGTTAATTCAGCGAATGTTTCACCATCGTGTCCGTTATTTAACTAATGTTTTCCATTTGCTCGAAATCTGCTTTTTTGAAATATTACTTTGCCATCCTTCGCATATTATCGTCCGACTGAGCAACGCCTGTTTCCAATATGCACGGCTGTACCATTGAAAACGACTGAATATACCTGGATATCTTGAAGGCGAGTGGTAATCATTCTTCTCCTCGAATCTTATGAAATACCATGCATAAATATATTTACAGAATGATTCCTTGGACGACATAAATAACTGTCATGAAAGCTGGATGAATATCTAGAGATGAAAGACCTGGTAGTGTAGTAGTAGTGTTTTCGCAGAAATAATCACCTAGTCATTTCGTTATCGAAAACTGGACATTCTCAATTTCGTAAATTACCATATCGTAGTAATGAATAATAATGTTACTTACAAATTGATTCATTGAGCTTTCGATGTTCATGATCAGTCAGTTACTGGCTATGCATGAATAGAAAACAAAGCAAGTCATTGATTGAAGAAACTCTTCTTAGCAAACTGAAAGTCACGGATATTCACTTCGTGAGATGATGAAAGAAACATGCCATTAGGAATAATTTATAAGTGACTTTAAAGCCCCACTGATGAAGTACTTCGACAGATGGGTGAGTATTAGTCGTGAACCAGTTCAAGCATCACTGACAATAAGTTCCGGTGAAAAGGTTGAGGTTCAGCAAATTTAGTGATCTCCCTCTGTGATTTTCAATACATAACCATAACGATATATCACTCGTGAGGTATATTTGAATTATCTTAACACAGCTGCAAAAGATATTCACCAGAGACATGCTCACATTCATCATGGACAGGCATCCATACTCTTCTGGAAGTCACTGTCGAAACGATGAACTATTTAACCGTAGAGGAAAGCGGCAGTAGAAATTCATTGATGGAATGTTACACATTTCGTTAATTACAAGTGAACTGACTTCATTCACGTTTCCACTTTGAAACTGTAAATATGTGTGAAGTGAATAGACTTGATTCTCTCTGTACTGAATGAAGACTTTGCAAATAATCTCATCCATCCCTACTGAGTGCATCCTTCAGTCATTGAGAAAGTAGACATTTCTGAATAGATGTGATAGTACTTTAAACCAGTGTTGTAAGTGACTTTGAATACC